TCCTCTTCAACATCTTCATGTGGGCAGTAGTCACCAAGTGGCAACAGAGGGTCAGAGGTATTCCTGCCGTTGGTTTCGAGTTCAGCTACCACTATGGTAAGGGTCAACTATATCGCAAGGCACGCCGGGCGGACACCGCTGCCACCGCCCTAGAGGCACAGTTCGCGGACGATTCCACCCTGTTTGCAACATCGCGTGCTGGTGCTGAGATTGCCTTGGTCCTGTTCAACTCGACCGCTTCGGAATTCGGCCTCACCATGAGCGCGACCGAAATCAAGTTCTTGGTTGCGGGAGCTGGCGTCACGGCTGCGGACCAGGCGCCCATACAGCTTGCCCCCTCCAAGTACCTGGGATATATCATCCACTGTGGCGGCCGATCTTCGCAGGATATCAGCGCTCGGGTGGCAAGTGCGTCCCGGGCTTGTGGTGCTCTGCAGCAATCTGTTTTCAGGAGCAAGAACTTAGATCTTCATATTAAACGCTGTGTGTTAAATGCTTGTGACCTGTCTCTGGTCCTGTATGGGTCCGAGTGCTGGACGGCGCTGAAGCAGGACCTCCGTCGCATGTCTGTTTTCCACATGCGATGCGTGCGGTCGATATTGGGTATCACACGCCATCGTTGCTGGGATGACCACATATCAAACAACCAGCTGCTTGAGTGGTGGGGTGACTTTGAAACCATCGTTACCAGGGTTCAGCATCGGCGCCTCGAGTGGCTAGACCATGTCACCCGCATGGACGACGTGCGATTGCCCAACAGTTGCTGTTCGGCACCCTGCCATCTCGTCGCCCGGCACATCGCCCACGTCGGCGGTGGAAAGACTGCGCTGTAAAGGACCTCCGCTCGCGAGACCTTGAAGCGGACTGGTACAGAGTGGCCTGTGACTCTCGCCCAGACTGGAGGTTGGCTTACACCTCGGACGCCCCGAATCCCCTCATACCGGCACCGGTGACTTGTTTCACATGTGCCTGGCACTTCGCACGTCAGGGTGACCTTGCTAGGCACAAGTGCACGGCTGGATGGCAGAAGCCGGTTTCGGAGCAGAGAGGTGCATGTCAGTGCCCTCGGTGTGATCGTTGGTTCCGGAGCCGCGGAGGCTTGGCTGTGCATCGTTGCTCCGCTTCTACCTCTTGCCCAGTACCGACCGAACCAGCTGCTGTTGTCACTGGTGACACTATCGGTCAGAGGTGCTGCAATGCTCACTGTGACACCTGCAATCGTTGTTTCCGCTCAACCCAGGGACGCAACCGCCATCGCTGTTCAACGCACTGCCACCGACCAGCGGCCAGAGAACTCCCGGTCCCGCATATGTGTATCTGCACCCGCCGGTTCCGACTAGTCTCGCATCTGGAGCGCCATCGCGTGGCGTGCTCTTTCTCTCTCTCTGCTGCCCCTCCGGGGCCCACGTGACCCTAGTGGTAGTGGCTCTACAGGACAGGACAGGACAGGTGTGTGTGTGTGTGTGTGTGTGTGTGTGTGTGTGTGTGTGTGTGTGTGTGTGTGTGTGTGCGTGTGTGTGGTAGTGTGTGTGGTAGTGTGTGCCATATGGTGCTGCTGTATGTGCAGCGATTTCCAATCGATAGGTTGCGGGTTCGATTCCCGACGATTATGGTCACACGCATCTTTCTTCTCTTTCTCAGACTCTTCCTGACTTTTCTTTCATTCTCCTGGGTGGTTACCAACAGCCAGTGCATGCCGGAGTATGTTGTGTGATGTGTGTGCGGAAACAAAATGAGAAGACCAAAAATAGGGATTCACTGGCACTGGCCAGAAAAAGTCACTTCAAATAGCTGTATGGTGTAGACCAGGCTGAATAGTGACGGTCAATTCCTCAGCCTTGCAAGCTGTTGAATGGTGCAATCCCAGCACAAGTTGCTATGGCTTCTGCCGTAGCATTGCTATCATCACCTCCGGCGATGGGCGTCAAAAGGTGTGTGTGTGTGGTGCGTGTGTACACATGTGTTTGTGTATGTGTGTGTGTGTATGTGTGTGTATGTGTGTGAATGAAGTGACTTTTTCTGGCCAGTGAATCCCTATTTTTCATTTTTCCATTTTTTTACACACACACCACACCACATACTCCGGCATACACTGGCTGACACACACACACACACAAACACACACACACGCGCACGCACGTGCCCACACGCATGTGCACACACCATCACCACCACCACACATACTCACTCACTCACTCCGACACTGGACTTATGATAGGAGTCGGATGATGAAGCACGTGCACTTCATGCGAACCTGCCTCTACGTCCACATCCGATTCGGCAGGACTCAACCAGCCTTGTGTGTGAAGTTGCGGTGGGCACAAGCGCAAAGTGGCAGTGCAGAGCACAGCTGTGGGGTGGATACCAGCCTAAAAATAGTGGCGGTCAATTCATCAGCCTTGCAAGCTGTTGCATGGTGTAATCCCAGCACAAGTTGCTATGTCTAACATAGCTGTTCGCTATCATCGCTTCCGCGATGGGCGTGTCTGAGGTCTGAGGTGTGTGTATGTGCGTGTATGTGTGTGTATGTGTGTGCATGTTTGTGTGTGTGTGTGTGTGTGTGTGTTTGTGTTTGTGTGTGTTTGTGTGAGTGTGTGTTTGTGTGTGTATACATGTACATAAGAGTTAAACACATTTCTGTACAGTCAGGTACCGTGACAACATTAACCGTCATACTTAGAGACTATGTAATGTTCCTTACTTGAACTTGGAACTTGTTTATCTCCTCTAGACTATCTACAAAAGGCTGAACACTGGCAGAACACTAACTTACATGATGGACATGCTGTCACTGAACATGTTGTTGCCTCCTTTGAACGCCCTTCACAGGGACGGCCACCATGCAGTGGAGCTGGATTTGTACATGATCTTGTTCTTGTGTGAAATCCAACACCACAGCTTCCAGAACAGGCTGACCAATCAGACCATCTACTCCAACGACCGTGCACTTGTAAAGCTATCATAGAATGTAGAAATAGCATAAACATTTTCAGACAAAGTCATCAAGCACAGGTTAAGCGGCTCATCACCAAAAACCTCACGAGAACTGTTATGGCTCTGCTCATAACTCTGTTGTTAGGTATTGTTTACAACTAGCATTAACAACCACACAACAACCCGACCTGTTTGGGAGCTATTACACGTTGTATTATCAGGACATAGGCAACAATTGCCGCATACAGTATGCAATACTATAGTCCAATGCCAAGCTGGTATCACAAGCACCAATGTGCGTTAGCCTTGCCAATGCCAAGGCTACAGGAGGCAACAATTGCCCGGTGAGAATTCAAGTGTGTCAATACACGAGCATACGGTAAGGATGCACTCATGGGCAAATGTAGGCGCACTTGGTTCAATGCCGGTCTGACCCACGATCACTACTGTTCTCTCTTTCGGGATCGCTTAGACGAGATATAGAACACATTGTCATTCTACTTGTTGTATAGGTTTCAGTATGAAAACCCTATCTACGTAGATGTGCATCACATCATGTACTTACAATAGTGAACATTCACACTAACTCCATGACCACCCAATGAAACTCTTTTTTTCAATAGCGCATCATATGTAATTAGCTCACTGGATGTCCTAGCTCAGGAGAGTTCAGTTTCGACACGATGCTGTCTATCTTTAAGAACCGCCAATCCATGTTTTGGAGAGTCCATGAATCCATACATACACGTACATCATCTCTCCTCGCCTAATTCATACTACCAGCATATTAAACCGGCACTCAGTACCTGAAGGTTGTGTTGGCGGGTCGCCTGGTGCACCTGGCTGTTCTGAAGGTCCGGGCTGCGGAATAGCAGCGCCTGCTTCCAAACCATAGAACAGGGAAAACAAGAAGATCAAATAATACAAGAGCTCTCGTAAGCAAGAGGTTGATATTGCTATGTCATGTCAATCATTCAACTTCTATCCTGGACACTGCAATTCTACAATATACCTTACAAGCTGGTACCGTATTTTTCCGGTTGTAAGTCGACCTTTTATGACTTAAAATAGAAGGAGAAAGGGTGGGGGTCGACTTACAACCGGGATTCAACTTATAACCGGGAACTATCAGTATCTTACAAAAAATGACCTGCACTGCATGCACGAGTGCACCATGTTTATACATTTTTGCCAGTTTATTGGCCTTTTTCAAGGATTGGGACATTATATCCTCCAATAAGGAATGTTTACATGATTTGTTGATGTGCTAGTAGCAGGAGGTGGTTAGAAGTGCTTCTTTGGGTGAACACTTTAAAACCCAGAATTGAGACCTCCAGATAGGGGGGTCGACTTATAACCGGGGTCGACTTACAACCGGTAAAATACGGTATCTGTGTGTAGCCCACCAAGACTGTACTATAGCACATACTAATTTCCAGTGCCACGGGATGAAGCAACAACAATTTATGGTACATGTGCGTGGCAATGAAATGTGTAAAAGTTGATTAGAGCCGCAAGGTTGTACCAAACTCACTGCAATCAATGGTTATTTTCTCGTTAGTGGAAGCTCGTGCTGCGCCGCCATGGTACACAAGTCTGCTATTGACTACTGGACCGAGAGCAAACAGCAAGTAGTGATCGCCACTCAGAGGAATATCCATGGCGTCTGAACTCATACAGGGCAAGGTGAATGAGAACGTGGTCACCCCACCGCTCTGGGACACACTAGCATCAGACACTTGATTGTCAGAGTCCAGGCCTGGTCTAGTCCGACCTCTAGCCCACCTGTATGTGATACACACACAATGAAATCATAGAC